AGTTTGCATCCCATATAGTTATGTTCTTCAGTCTCACGGTAGTAGCGTTGTTCAATAGATTGCATAGAGTATATGCAGTTTGGTTTCAAATTTCAGATTTTGCTTTTTACAACAAGTGAACGTTTTTCAACTAAGACATTGGCATACTTAGCATACAAGGCATTCAAGGCTTTCATGGCTTTCAAGCGTTCGCGACTCAATCCGTTCCAAAATTACCGCTCAATAACATCTTTCAGTGTGGATTAGCCGCGATTAATACGACTTGTATATGCGTCTGGAAGTATTTTGCGCGTTTGCGCTATAATACTCCAGGAGATCGCAATCCAATTACGTTGAAATACAAAACAACTGACCAAAGAGTTTTATAAGCAAAATCTCGTGTTCGTCATGTGACCCGGCCCTGTCTGTGTATGACAACGTCAATCATTATCAACATAACACGCGTGATCAGCATGTGAACACCTCATTGGATCACAGTTAGTTGTCATGGTGTTGAGGGATAACGTGCGTGATCAGTATGTGAACACCTCATTGGATCACAGTTAGTTGTCATGGTGTTGAGGGCCCAATGACCTCTGGGTACTATTGCGCAATTTTTCCATTTTGTGGCGGAGGAAAAAAAAAAAAAAAAAAAAAAAGACGACAAAAAAACAGAGGCATTTTATGACTGGGCTACCACAGGTATCCCAGTAAAAAAAAAAAGACGACAAAAAAACAAAGGCATTTTATGACTGGGCTACCACAGGTATCCCAGTAATAAATGTAACCAAAAATAAACTGTATTGGTGCCACGGATACCTGTTAGTACAAAATGTAGACAGCAGACTGCAGACCGGATACAAAATATAGACTGCAGAGTGGGTACAAAATGCAGACTGAGAATCTGAAGAGTTTTACGTCTGGTATATGATAACATGTCATCTTACAGCTTACCGAGCGTTATGCAATCGCTTTTCCGCGATCAGCCTTCACGATTATTTGCACTATTGTGGAATATTCCTGGCCCATTTCTTGATGAAAATCGATCGTAATAGAATTTCAAGCCTTCAACATAGTTGGTTGGTGTGATGTCTGTACAGATTTTACCAACGTAATAAAAGTAGATGACGTGAATTACAGTGATGGCAAAGCAAGCTTAAAACGGCAGAAATCGCCAGAAAATACAACGGATACACAGGGTATGAGTAAGTTTTATTGATTTTACGAGAAAAATGTTCATATTTCGAAATATTTATCGTTGTAAATCGACCGTACTTCGTTCCCTATACTATTCCTTATAACGTATTCAAATTTCCAACAGTTCCTCTCGTAACTTAACACCAAGTCACACAACGCGTGACGCGTTCATGAATTAATCGTTGGCTTTTTATCGAGACGTGAGCTTGGGCCGCCTGTGACAAGACAATTGCGTAAACAATATTTGACATAATAACATTATATATAAAAAAAACACAGGGTTTTGGATCACTTATTTATTAAAAAAGAATATCTATACAACTACAATGAAAACAAACATAAGATTCACCTTTCTGATCGTGAAATTAATACCATTCGTACTGTTATCGTAGCTACGTTTCTTGCCATCAAGTGAATCCAACATGTCGTCTTTCTTCACAAGCAGTTTGCATCCGTTATAGTTATGTTCTTCAGTCTCACGGTAGTAGTGTTGTGCAATAGATTGCATAGAGTATATGCAGTTTGGTTTCAGATTTCAGATTTTGCTTTTTACATCAAGTGAACGTTTTTCAACTACGATATTGGCATACTTAACATACAAGGCATTCAAGGCTTTAATGGCTTTCAAGCGTTCGCGACTCAATCCGTTCCAAAATTACCGCTCAATAACATCTTTCAGTGTGGATTAGCTGGGATTAATGCAACTTGTATATGCGTCTGTAAGTATTTTGCTCGTTTGCGCCATAATGCTCCAGGAGATCGCAATCCAAATACGTTGAAATACAAAACAATTGACCAAAGAGTTTTATAAGCAAAAATCACGTGATTCGTCATGTGACCCGGCCCTGTCCGTGTATGTCAACGTCAATCATCATCAAGATAACACGCATGATCAGCATGTGAACACCTCATTGGATCGCAGTTAGTTGTCATGGTGTTGAGGGCCCAATGACCTCTGGGTACTATTGCGCAATTTTTCCATTTTGGGGCGGAGGAAAAAAAAAAAAAAAAAAAAAAAAAAAAAAAAAAGACGACAAAAAAACAAAGGCATTTTATGACTGGGCTACCACAGGTATCCCAGTAAAAACAAAGGCATTTTATGACTGGGCTACCACAGGTATCCCAGTAATAACTAAGCCAAGACTGTCACCGTCATTTTGGATCTCCGCCTGGGTAGATTTTAGTCACGTGCTAGGCAACGTATAATCAAGAACAAGATAGAATTTAATTTCAGGCCTATTTATCAATTTTGTGTTGTATAACTTTCGCATTTTAGTACGTAATATTTATTTTGAATCTTCAAATTGTCTTGAAACTTAAAAGAAAATTGTTTTCAAAAATTCACTGAAAATCGGTAACTGAAATTGTTTGTTTAGGTGTTTTTTGATTTTCGTGATAACTTGTAATTTCGTCAGTCGCCGGCATCTTTTTTTGCTTCACACAGGAAAAACACACGATACGAAACGTAATGATCGATTTTGTCCTCAATCTCACGCCATAACATTCGTCTTTTGATCACTGTTTCACCCCCGCTCTTCATTTGCTCGAGAGACCTGAGAGTTACACTGATGCATTATCCATATTCTGGAACACGATTGGTACTCTCATTGCTAGTTATATATATTTAAACGATCACAACATATGTCATGCTTCAGTGGGCTGATAAGTTCTTTGCCTTTAGATGTTGAATTCTGACGTATCATTTTTATCGCATTTTGATACCTTTTCCAAGCGAAAACACACCCGAGCTGAAAGTAGGTAAGCGCGTATGTTTAATTTCAGACATCAAGGTAAACTTTTAAAAACTGGAGATCTACTTTAAGTCAGAAACGAATGTCGCTGTGGATTATTTGTCAACAAAAATCGAAGCTATTCCCGACCAGCCAGCCCCTATCTAGCAAGGTTCCTGCTCACACACCTTCCTTGAATATTGTCTACTGATTCAGTTAAACGGTTTTAAAATGGAAAATCCAATAGTATGGGGAGAGTCGATAATTTCCAAACATGTGCATTTTTCCTAAAAGGTTTCTTCCTCTTTCAAACTATAGATCGGCCCTTTTTCTTCATTCCTTGGAGAAAGTCAAATGGAATAAACATTTTTTTCAGTTCACGGTTCCGGAAAAAAAAATGAAAAAAAAAAACGCAAAAGTCAAATTTGTTGGAAATGGCAATCAAAGCGAAGAAAAAATCGACGCAGAGCCACAGTCTTTGAAAGCTAGACTTTCCTGTGATGGACCAGATAAAATCTCCTCAAAATATGTCGCAAAAGCAAGTAGAGTACGACATACCATTATTTCACTTCTTAACCATATTAACTATTGTAACGTTCCGTTTTATCATCGCGAAACAATCGTACGAGTCTAAAAAAATAAAAAAAAAGACCGTTTTAATTGTTCTGTAATCCCGAAAAATCATATTAGATTGGAAATATATTGACGGAAGGGAAGTTGTTTTAAAATAAGATGTCTTCCTACTTCTCAACGCTTATCGTATCGCATCAATCAACACTTCAAGTTCAGGACCAATTGGAATATTTTTCACCGGCATTCATCAACCTCTACCTCCTGATATAGATGTTAACATAAGCTAACGAGAATTATTATCCTGTTTAATTTTTTTAGTTCACAACAGCGCCATGAATTGTTTCTTGTTTTTCAGGTTTCTCTAATCAATAGAATAGAAATTGTCTGAAACATCATTATCGATAATCATTCATTCATTGAAGAATTACATTTTCTAACAGTGCCAGTTAGAATTGGTGACGTGCTTGTAACCAGTAGGAATTAATATAACTGACCTTAATGTATTCAACAAAAGTAATTGTGAAAATTCAAATTCATAGAAAAGGATTAGAAATGGATCTCGGCTGGAAGATTCATATCGGAGAATTTGTAAAATTAGAACAGCACAAAGTTTACCGGTTGACTCAAGTTACAATGACTCTTTCTTTTGACATTAGAAGATCTCCTGTTAAAATTCCACTTCATTTCAGGTAAATTGTCGCAAAGAAAAGGGACAATCATAAGCGTGTGATACTGAAAACGTCTAAAAGTGGCAAAAGATCGAGATCGAGATCGAAGATTTCAATTAAGATATTTGTGTGTCTTACTTAAGAAAAGTACGTACGTGATGCACATACAAATTTGTTAAGGATTTCGTTCCCCTGTTTAAATAAAATGTTTCCTTCGTACTTTAATATTTTGCTTGGATCGCTATCGTTTACTTGAACTCAGATCTGATGCAAATGGAAGAAAAAAAATCAACCATAATGAACAAAAGGGAACATAGAAACCTCAATGAAGAGGGAATTTGCTTCTGAGCACTATAAAAGAGATATTCTGATATCTAAATTACCAAGTCACTTTATAGAGCACTTTATAAGAGATTTATGGAAGAGATATTCCGATATCTAAATCACTAAATATGCCTTAAGTTTATCTTGTCAAAGTTGTTTTGCATATTCCCCTAAAACCCAGCACTTAAAGGGTTAAGAAACTTATTATTTATGAAAAACTCGCATGCAACCGATAATCGAATAAAGAGTAACTGGTCAAATGCAACGAGGAGATTCTCTCCTAACTTTTTTTTTTCTCAATCCTAAACAATCTTTGAACCTATTCCTTGTTTGCTTCCTTGTTTGTCATTGCTTTAAATGTTGTGAGCTCCTTATATCTATAATTTGTGGCTTGTTTTCATTTCGATAGTTCTATTTGGAGTGAGAAAGAAACCCAAATAATGCGAAATTCAAGCAGGCTGAACATGTTGAATTTTAGTGTTAAAATTATCACTTAAAAGTTGTTCGTCTATTTCACCCACAGAGCATGGAATTCACAACAGAATTGGGTTTTACCATAGCGTTTGCTATAGTTATGATCTTGACATTGGTTGGAAACTTGTTGCTGATATACATTGTCTGGAATACACCTGAAACGAGAGGTCTGACAAGTTTCTTGTTCGTAAATATGGCGGTAGCCGATCTACTGGTTGCAGTAATTCAGATGCCCCTCTCCATGGCTCATTTTTACTCCACTGGAATGACTGGTGTGGCGGGTGACCTGTTCTGTAAGTTTTTTAACTATCTTTTGCAAGTGTCGATGACAGCCTCCATTCTCAGTTTGGTTGTGATGGCATTTGATCGATACTTCGCTGTCATACACCCTTTGAGGCGAAACATCTGGTTCCGAAGATCCAAAATTATTCTACCAGTCATTTGGGTCCCATCCTGCACTTTAATGGCAGTAAATTTAGCCTCTTACGAGGCTAATTATGGAAGGTGCTTTTATATAGAGAAGCATATCCCAAGCGTTATCCTACTAACGTACCTACTTGTCATCAACTATGTCTTGCCTCTCGCCATCATTTCCTACCTGTACATTAAAATCACGAGAAAAATATGGTTCCACGAATTTCCTGGTCAACACGAAATTTCTCGAAACCTGGCAGATGATCAGATTCCCAAGAAAAAAGTCCTCCGAACGCTCATCATCGTTGTGTTGGTTTTTGCAGTCTGTTGGTTGCCCATGCAAGTGCTCCAAATGGACTACGTGGTGACGGCAAGAATAAAATGGCATCCTGCAGCCATCTACTTTGCCTCTTGGCTCAGTCAGGCTAACAGTGCCATTAATCCATGGCTCTATATCCTGCTCAATGGTAAAATGAATGGAGCTTTTCGCAGAATGATCGGAAGCCAGAGTGTGAGAAGCAGGGCATTCAGCAATACCAGCCAATCAACCACGGCCGTAAGCTTTCTCAGAAATGACTGCTTGGAAGATACTGCAGTTTAAGGGTCATAGCTGTACTGAATACAACAATAAATGATTAGGTTTAGCCTTACGATATATGTAGGTTTACATGATTGTGTTTCCTCCGAGTATATAGATCCCACAAAGAAGATAGTGCGTAGAAACCAATGAGGTCATTAGATCAGTCTCATGTGGAAGGCAATTGAAGATCCACACATATTAATTATCGAGGATCCTGACGTTCAACCATAAGATGGCTGAATCACATGAATTTAACGTGTCAGTCCCCCAAATACATAGCTCCCACCGAGAAAAAACGCTTATAGACCGTTTGATGAAGATACGATTATGAGCAGGGTATTTTGCAAACAACTTACTATCATTATCAGAAGCTTTTCGATTTTTTAAATCCTTTTATCTATAGTTGAACAGACGCACGGACACATGGTATATATTTGTTAACTGGATGTCGTTAATGTGATGTACCTTCCTCAGTTTTTCCTATCAAAACCCAAAGCGAACCGCAGTAGTTCCGGTCTCTGCTGGTTTACTCGAAAAAAAAAAAAAAAAACAGTTTCTCTGTGGAATCATAACACAGATCTCAGTCCCACTTGCTAATGAACATGACGAAGGCGTGACAACTTCCATATCCCCATAAAAGTTCCTCCAAAAGTTATACAAGGCCAATGAATATTCATCTTGCTCATCGTTCCCTTAAAAGACTTAACAGTTTGAGAGGAACTCCCTTCAGAGAGGAAAATACATATATTGGCGTGTGCAGAATTATACACACGTTTTGATTGGTTCTTACAAATGATCAGTTGGAGGACAGACGCATACATGACGTCACCAGGAAAAAGTTATATTCCTTTATTATATAAAAGTGTCATCAGTGATACACTCGGTTACGCCCCGCAATTGTTTTGCTCTTACCACATTTTAACGTCATCTGTGATCTTTTACTGAACAGATGTACAGCAAGTTATATTTTATTGATTTATTCATGAGAAAGAAAATCTGGACTACCGTGAGAGTCTTGCTCTTAGCCAAGAAGAAGAATGTCCGTTTCCTTCAACGATGTGTCCGGCTACATAATTATTCTTTCGTTTTATGCTCTAAATTGTATCTTTTTCTCAGCCAATGAGACAGCTTTACTGTCACACAACAACCAATCAAATTTCAGCGCTTGTTTAAAGAAATCAGTCAAATTGCAGAAAAATGAGAGATATCTTTTGCAACTTTTCAAAAACCAGCTCAATGTACTGAATCCATAAAATATTTGACCAAACTAAAATAAATGAGCGACTGAATTTGCCATTTTACAGTTCATGTAATAAAGTGGAAGATTTTGCTGATTTCACGTGACTGTTTTGCAGAGGTCAGCAAAGAGATGTACAAAATTTTCATACTCACTTGCCGAGCTATTGTTCCCAGTCTACCAATGAGATCTTTTGTCCTGCCACGTCCTTTATGCCGTCGTCGTAATGGTTTGCATAGGGCTCCTACCATGCTATTTTAGGTAAAGGCTTGACTGATGGACTTCAATCAGTGTACAGTTGGTCAAACTTTCAAGAATAGAGATCAGTCTTTTTCATTTAGCACCATACTCCACGACCTAAATTTTGCCTGCTTCCCACGGAGACTTTATTCAGGTTTATGGCTTTTTTATTGAGTTTAGGCGCTGCCCGATAGTTAAATTTCCTCTTCCTGCGATGACAACTTCGACCCTCTAGCCTGTTCAGTGAGGCAAAGACACCAGTCAAGAAAAGCTGTATTTTACCGCCCATGCTTGTTCACGTGACACATACGTGATGTCAAAGATCACCGACTGTTAGTGGCACATTGAGGTACGTTTCTTCTTTTTAACTACAAGTAGTATTAGAAGAAAAACAAAGAGACAGACAAGAAAAGACAGACAGACTGGCAGGCTAAAACAGACTGACCTACTGGTTGACTGACTGAATGAATAACTGACTGACAGACTAACTGAAAGCTTGCTGACTAACTGACAGACTGATTGAGTTGTTACTTGCTCAGTTCCATGTAAAAACTGACAAAAACCTTATTCATTACGAAATCATTATAATTGATAATGGTAATAGGAACAAGTGGAGTCCAATTCGGTCAGTAATCATACGAGTGATTAACAAAATCGTACGACCGCGAAGCAGAAGTTCGATTTGTTAATCACGAGTATGACCACAGACAGAATTGTAGGACACGAAGTCCTGTTACCAATTAATCAAAACTAATGAGAAAGAAACTAGAATCGGTTACAAGTTTTCAGAAAAAAAAAAGACAACAACAACAACAGCTACCTCGGCGAAATGCGAGACAACAGCGCGTGCACGTGACGGTTCTGTCCACTTACACAGGCATGACGTATGAACTGTCCCTTTAACTGTCCTACTAAACCGTCCAATTACAAGCATGATGCGTACACTGTCCTATTGCTGCTCAAATCGGGCTGGTAATAACCAGTCGCGCTCGAAAATTTTGTTATAGTTTTGATTAATACAAAGTGCGGTGCTCGTGCTTATGCTGATTGCATGGTTGTGTGTGCCGTGCGAGTGCGAAGATGATAATTGCATAGTGCAACAGAATGATTGACTGACTAACCAACTTACTGACCGTACCGTCACTCTGACTAAACGACTGACAGCCTGATATCGTCCCTATTCGATTTCGAAAGTGTTGATCCAAGCAATATGCTGGAAACTTATCAGATGTGAACCTTGTAATGATATCGTTCACCATTGAGTTCGAATTCTCTGTCGCTCAGTACAGCGGCAGAGCACGGAAATTCGACGACTGAAATCTTTCTTTGGTCAGACGTTCTTCACTACAAATGACATCTTTCTTTTTGAATATTTTCTAATTCTTAACTTGTTGCATCAGTGGATACAATAGACTGATCTCACCGGAGTACTTTTTTTCTCTCTCCATTTTCATTCGTAACGGAGTTCTTTTTAAGAATGGAGCAGCTTCACCGCCTAGTCTCGAACTGGCGATCTTCGTCTGGTAAAACATAACAAGTGCAAGGTAATCACAATAACCACATGTACATTCTCTTAAACTCTACAGTTTGTCTTGAAATAAAACTGTAGGAGGGGACAAGATTCGCTTGCCCGTTGGTATAAGTCCTAAATCAATGTAAATAAATAATTATTATAATGTATCTTTTAAAATTTGTCGGCAACATTTACCTCAATCTGTGGTGCCAAAATTGTAACGTATGAAGGCTTTGAATTAGAGAATACTGACCTTGTTACTGATCTAGTGCAAACGATACCCAACTGAAAAATCTAATGCATTTTTCACTGCTTCTTGAAGTAAAACCCGAGCTGAAAGGCTTGAAAGGATTCTCTATCGTCTGAGAGGAAAGACAGATCAATATAGCAGAGCAACATGCGGCTAATTAAAGATAACCTTCCACAAAACTATTCAATTATTCTCAATAGGAAACTGGATCTTATTTTTTGGGATAATCACTCAGGAAGTGTTTTAATTTAGAATAAGTAAATTCTACACCGGCTCTAGAAAAGAATTCAATAAACAAATTGTGAATTTTTATCTTCGTTCTTACTGAATGTTAGTACTAGTTCTGAGTCACATGCTAAGGAAATTTCGCAATTCCCTGTTTTGGCATAAATGAATTGCTTGTCTACCTGCTTCACTGTTGTATTACACTCAGGTACCTCGTTAAATTTATATGGTCGCAGTTGAAGGTTGTAAAACTTATTTGATTCAGTGCTCCAAATGAGGAAGATTTCAAGTTGCAGATCGTTCTGTTTTTAAACTTTTCCCAGTGATTGACATCTTATTCAAATCAGTGCGATCCTTTCAAAATCAAAGAGAATCTTTTCGTCGATACAGAAATATGCTCCCACATTCATTTTACAATCTATTACATCCATTTTGACATCACCGGTGATCCTTGTAATCTGATTGGCTCTCACCGGTGCGACTGGTTCACGAATCGCACCACTTTTTGCTCTAAATCGCATTTTCCAAACTAATGAAAAAGCTTTACTATAACACAATCAATCAAACTTTAAGGTTTGCTTAAAGTAACTTACCACAGTGCTGGAAATGAAAGACAACTTTAACAACTTTTTATCAACCATCTCAGTATTGAATCCATAAAATGTTTGAAGAGACTAGAAAATCCTGTAAATGAGCGACTGAAATTTGCAATTTCAAAATGGATGTAATAAAGTGGTAACTGAACTTCAAATATTTTATGCATCGTGTCGTGCGATTTCGGTCTGTAATGATATACAAGCAAAAATTTCAGCATGTTCATTGGCCGAGAACACGTCAATTATTCCCAAACAATGCCGAAAGTTGAAAATCGAGTGTTAAAGTTGAAACTGACTTTAGAAAGTTGAGTTGATTGACAGGTAAGTCGCAAATGCACAACAAAACAAAATGACGGCAAAGTGAAGAAAAAAGTTACAATTTCATAGTTTGGGAGAGAATGCTAAAATCGAAAAACCCAAAGGAACGAAAAAAATTGTAAAAAGTCGGTAAGACTTGGTCTTCCAAAAGAAAGCTACGAAAGTATGTACCGGAGGCCTGAGTAAAATTCTCGAGGAGTTTTATGCAACAGTTCGTACGAAAGACGGGGGGAAGGTTACCAACGCGACAGCTATCATGTAATGGTTACTGCTGTCGACTGATACCAAAAAGAGAAAGAATACAAAACCTCGATTATTTGTGATCGAGAGCTTAAAAGCTTGAAGCGAGTTCTTAAGGGAAAAGCTCGAATACGCCAACAAAAGGCAAAGGCAAGCAGCCGAAGTACTGAGCAATGACAATAAATTAAGATAAAACAGAAAACATTCATATTTTTGGTTATATCATTTTAAGTAGCAATCTAATGATTTGTCTCGTGCACTTTGGGATAAATTAGCTTTCAAAAATGTTTCAAAGACTACAAATTGCACTCGCCCGCAGTTTGGTTTGTCCTTGAAAGTTTGCTCGTGCTGATTTATTCTAAGTTGCAATCGAAATCATGTGATTACTAAGACAAATTACACTCCACTCAATTCACTCACC